ATTCGGACTGTGAGGAGAAGCATCCGTGAATTTGTATCAAGTGATTAACAAATTAAAATCTTCACTAAGACCTGTCTCCATTCATCAGAGAGAAGTAGCCACAGACATGCTTATATGATCAGAGCATAATGCAAAGCATGAGCTAAATGTTAACAACAGAACTTGTAAGTAACAAAATTAACTGTTTCTTGAAACATAGAATGCACAAAGAAGTATGTTTTCTTAGCGTAGAAGATCATACAGATTGAAAATTATTTTTTCTTTTAAAACAGATTGGACTTAACTTGAGCTGAAATGCCTGCGTGAGTTTGCAGTGAGACTCAGAAGAAGCACAAATGCTAATCTCAGTAGATATCAAAGACCATGCTTTCAATTCAGAGTTTCTCAAGTAATTGCATTGCAAATGTAGTGTATGTGAATACAATAGCAAACATTTTTTTTTCCTGAGAAACTCAAGGGTTTTCAAAAGCACCAATAGGGGTGAGGAGCCAGAGAATGAATAGAAAATAAATAAGTAAATAAATATATAAAAATATGGTAAAGACTCAGAAGAAGCACAAATGCTAATCTCAGTAGATATCAAAGACCATGCTTTCAATTCAGAGTTTCTCAAGTAATTGCATTGCAAATGTAGTGTATGTGAATACAATAGCATACTTTTTTTTTTCCTGAGAAACTCAAGGGTTTTCAAAAGCACCAATAGGGGTGAGGAGCCAGAGAATGAATAGAAAATAAATAAGTAAATAAATAAATAAAAATATGGTATATTAAACTGACAAATGTCTGGGCAACAAGGGAGAACACTTCTTTATTAATTTTTCCCTCTCCTCAAAAGGCAGTTCCAACATCATAAATTGAAGAAAACACTGTAACTTCATATTGCTTACTACAGACTTACGGTAGCCGCACTTCTTGCATCCTGCTCTGATGTTATCCTTATTGCCACCTGAAAGAGAAAATTTCATCAATTAGGTGTTGCTAAACAGAACTCTCAAGTTTCTTTTAAATCTGGCTTGATAATGTCAAAACAGGGACAGGAGTGATTACTCCTCAGAGTATCAAGTACACTAAGATCTCTTAAAAAAACTTGAGGAAAAGCAAAACAGTGCATTTGTAAGGTCATTTTTCTGTGCAGTAATCTATCAGAACAAATTTGGCTAGTATAAACTGCTACGGATCTTTTAATTTCACATACCTTATTGCCAAATCCTCACTTTATTTATTATTACCTTTCCATTATAATTTGGATAATTATTGCACTTCTCTGAAAGCTTATGCATTTGTTTAGTTACAGTATGAACACAGTAATAGCTATCTGACATTCCAGGGATCCATAACTGTGCACTACGCATGTACTTATAAATCCTAGCAGCGCATGGATGTTGACAGACATTCACTGGAAACTCTGAAGTACTTTATATTTTAATTACAAGAACTGTCTTAAAAAGGCAATTAAAAAAAAAAAAAAAACAGAGATAAACAAATTGTTAAATGATTCTGAATCCAGGCAACATGGCACCAAATACAAAGAATTAATGGGTGCAAGAAAGCAAACGTGAATTAAAGTGAAGAGAGTAACAGAAAAGTCCATAGATGCTATGCAGGAAGAAGGACCAGAATAGTGCAAATTTTAGGTATAGGAAGTGTGTGATTCTCCCATCTGAGCCCACAGTTAAGTTAAATAGACATAGTAGGATATGACTCAGAAGAACAGAAACCCCAGAGATCCCCCAAAAGAGATCAGTCTTATTTTTAATCATCTGAGCCTATTCATAATGAAAGTCACAACTGAATTTCCAAAGTCAAAGGGTGCCCTTCTATCCTCGAACTGAATAGAGTATGAAAAATCCAGTTACTTAAAGAGTTATATACATTTTTCTGAATAACTAGGTCATTTATTTAATTAAATAATTAAGCAAACATAACAAGAAATCCCTGACAGAAATTAGAGAACTAGAAAGGGGGTACATCGGCTCCATGAATTTAAACTTTGATTTACTGAGCGAAGCATTGTCTTCAGAAAATTTTACTCAAAATAACAGAGAAACCTTCAAACCCCAGGCTGAAAAAATACCTTGGAAATTTGGACAACTCACTAGGCTATGCCCTGAGGAGTACTGGAAAGCTAAGCAATAAAGATACATACATTCCATTATGACATATAATTTTCTGTGGATCCCCAAACCTTAGTATTATATATCCCCTTTGAGGTCTATAAACTCAGCAATGTTTAGGCACCTGTTTTATGACTATCTTTTGAGGGAAACCCATGCGAGATAAGGAGATAGGGAACATGGAAGAAAGTGCCAAGAAGCAAGGAACGAAAGTATACCTGTATCTTGCAATGTCACGTCAAAGAAATACTTTCAAAACAGCATCTGCTTGTTCACTGCACCTTGGGACTAGAAAGCAAGATCACCCAAGCTACCTACTTTGTCTCAGATTTCCAAAATACTCAGTAAATTTCAGCCCTACTGCATAACTGGTCTGTAGATAAAGAAAGATTTGGTATTCCGTGCAAGGGAGGTCAGTACAATCATCACTCACCACAGAACCTCCCGTAATATGTGCAGGTGCCATTTGTCAGGATTTCCAATAGAAACACCCAGCAGATGACAAGAATATTGTCACCAACTACTCCCACCAAATTCCTGAGACTGAAATTATGTTATTATTTTTGGCTTTAAATAATAATGTTAGAAGCAGAGGTTTAGACTAGATGAAGTTTTAGACAATTAAAAGAAAACAAGTTATTAGAAGCTTTCTTTTCTCACTCCCTTCTTCCCAGGTGTTAATCCTCAAGAAAATTAACAACCAATACAGCAGCAACCATCACTAAGGAACTTATTCATTCAGTGGAGCGTAAGGTTGCATAAAAAGCTTTGGAAACCTTTGAGCACAAACATGAGGTGTCTTCCTCAAGAACCCCTTCTAGAATAGGAGCAAGTTTATCAAGGTCTTCTCTTTTCTTAAGAGAAAAAGCTTACCAAAGCTCAGGCTTGTTCAGCTGTTCTCCAACCAAACGCTCCTCATGTCTCAGGATCAAGAAAAACTCATGAAGCAACGGCTATATGTTTGGCTAACATAGATCTAAACACCTTGCAAACAGCGCAAGCCTACCTGCCTGTCCTGTCTCACCATCATTCTCAGCGGGTCTCTTTAAACAATAATCCAGCGGGACACAACTGTTAATCCAGAACAAAAGACGAGGAGGAAAACCAAGCCTGACAACAACCACTTCTGGACCTGCCTTTAAGGAAGGTGGCTTACACTAACAGACAGCAGGAGCGTAGCGCAGACCATCACTCACCCAAACCCTGCGGAAAGGCCCCGCACGCCTAGAAGGAAGCGA